GCAAGGCCGAGAAGGACCCCAACAAGCCCAAGCGTCCCCCGAGTGCCTTCTTCGTCTTCATGTCAGTCCCCCCAAATTCGATTCGTGGTTCGATTCGTGCTGTTTCTGTGGTGTGGTGTGGCATCGCATGCTGACCGAGGCTCGTTTCGGTTTCGTCTTCACAGGGACACCTTCAGGAAGGAGTACAAGGAGAAGCACCTCCGTTCCGCTCCGTCTTCCCTCCGCGCCTCTGTCTCGTGCTGTTCGTTCGAATTGGTGCTGCTGAGATGAGTTTCCTTGTGAATTTCGTGCCCTAATCTCGTTTGGGTTGGTCGATTCGCAGGTTGGCAAGGCCGGTGGTGAGAAGTGGAAGTCCCTGAGTGATGTTGTAAGTTACCCATGTCCCCTCCCCTCACTGTTACCGCTCTATTTGGTGTTGCCCTTTTCCGCCTGACAACAGTGCTTGCTCGGTGATGTGATGAAAATTTGGTCGCCACTGTGTTGGTTTACTTAATTCTGTGTCAGTTTGGCCAGTGTTCCACCTAGTTGGTCAGTTAGATTTCGAATTCAGTCACCGTGCAATTGTTGATTTACTGCCTGAGCTCAATTTGTGATTCGCTGTGTTGAAATGTGGAAATTCAAACTGCCGCATGTGCCTTCACTTGCAATTTTAGTCTGTATATGCAATTGCCGATCTACTGTCTAAGCTAAATTTGGTTGTTCAAATCTATTATGATTAGCAGTGTTTCAAATGTGTAGCATCGTTAGAGTTGTATACGTCCTGTGCCAATCGATTCAAACTGCTGCCCGTGCTCGTTCATGCAGTTTAGTCCGTATGCAAATGCTGATCTACTGCCTATGCTCAATTTGGTTGTTCAAATTTAAGATTCACCCGTGCTCATCAATTTAAACAGATGCTTTTGTTGTAGTTTATTTTATATCTGACACAAAGCTGAGCGACTTGTTTGTTTTATATTTGACACAGCTGATTTTGTTGTAGTTTATTTTAAGTTCGATAGCACGTCATCCTTAGAATAAGTTGTTGATCAAAGAAATGGACTAAATTAAAGCATTCCTAGGAGTTGATGCTGTTGTTATTGACCTGCTGCTGTTGTCAAACTACTGTTGTCATTAACCTGTTGTTGCTGCTGTTGTAGGAGAAGAAGGAGCACGCCCAGGAGAAGAAGGAGCAAGCCCAGGAGAAAAACAACTAGCAGAAGAAGAAGGCCCTGGATTGCTGTTGCTGGAATGTTTACGGAAACATGATCTTCTCCCGAGTATAGTGCAGTCACATTGCATGTCTACACTCTCCATCAATGAACGTCGTATAGACCATTCTATGATTCTTTCTATTACCAACAGTGTAGAAGAGCATTCATATGTTAGATTAAACTAGGACATATGCCCGTGCGTTGCACCAGGAGAAACAAATTCTCGCACGTAACCATGTAATATGTGAATGCACTTACATGAGAGGCATGGTGCTCCTGGTTGTAACTCAGCTCAATCATTGAGGCGGCCTAGGCATGTGACCATGAGACATCGAACCGGACCGCGCCATGTATACAAGAACCCTCAATTTTCACCATATGAGACCGTTCAATAAATAGTTATACCGTGCATCTGATCCATACGTAATCCCTCATACTCCCACTCGATTTTGACTTATATTGTTGTGGACTTGTTTCATGTTGGAAGGGCGGGTCTTGTATGTATGTGTGCAACTCGAGGCCCAGTGGCCTAGTCCCTCAAACTCCCGCTGTCCCGCGTGCCTCCATAGGCCGGGCTCGGGCACCACCTAGTAAGAGTGGCCTAGGCCCGAATGTTATCTCCTTCTCGGCTTGGCTTCTCCTTGGTCCTCCCTTCCCTTGAGGCTTTGACACACAATTAATGCCCACAATGTCCCGCTCTCCTATGGAGCAAACATCAGTTGTAATGAATTAGTCGTTCACCGGGTCAAAAAATTCGGTCGTGACACAAGTGTTGATGCTTTTATCGATGATGAAGGAAATGACAGGTTTTGTGAAACAATATTTAGTACTACAAAAAATGGTTAGCATGCCAAAGGACCTACAGTTAATGCATCTTCAGTAAACCGTATTATAAATAATTATTCCCTATTTTTTTGTTAGTTATTATCTCGGAACACAAAAGCCATAACTTGGTTCTTATAGCATGCAAAATATCTTTGCTTAGTAGTAGCTTTGACCAAATCACCAGAAGAACGGGCACCAGCCTGCAGTGTGAGTGTAGATTAGCATTTATTTGAAGTGCCATTATGCTGGCCTTTCAAGATATGGTTTATTCGGATTTCAGTTTCAGAATTCAACAAAAAAACTAAAATCCCAGTGTTATCCCTAAAAAATTCCAGTGTTACGAAAACATATATAAGAAAGGCTATGCATCTAGGAACATGCAATGTCCCTTCTGAATAATCATTAGAATCTTTATATCACTAAACTATTAGCAGAAGGATGTAAGTTTAGCCTAATAGAAAAGGATCACTAAGTAAGTTTATGCTTCCAAGCACAGAGAGAAGGACATGATCAGCAATGGCAAAAGAAAATATTTACTACATAGTAAATAACCTGATATAGTTAAACTGTACGCTGAGATGTAGAAACTTAACTCTACAGTCTCCGGTACAGGCTACAAAAAACTTAAAATCCCTATGTTCTCTTGGTGATGAGGCTCTACTTCGGTTGCAATTTCTTTTCTGAAGTTTTGCTCACCTTCAGTGAGTCACAAAAATTCCATTTGCATCCCGCTGCCCCACTTCCCACATATCTCTTTACTAATTGAGCACTATATCCTTGCCTTGGCCCATTATTGTTTTCTCCTGCTCAATCAATGCCCTTTGTCCCTTTGTAACCTTGAATCAAGTTGTGTAGTTCCCTACTTCCACCTTTCTTTGAATTTTCAGCTTTCTGGTATTTTGTCCCTTTCTTCTGCAGCTTTTGTTAATCAAGTCAGGAGCACAACTTAATTATCTCTACTCTCATATGTAACTCCAGCTCCAGCTTATCATTTTAGAAACAGCAAGTCAGCACAACTCAATTATATGCACTCTCATATGTAATTGTCAGGAACAATTCAACTTTGAAAAGTAATAAATCTTACATATTTGTTTCGTAATGGACAAGCCATATTTATTTTTACACTAAGAAGTTATAACAAACAAAAGAAAGAAAGTTTTCCACAATAGATCTCTAGCTTTCTGGTGTTTGTAAACATTCGACAGAGTAGAGAGTACCACTGTAGAATTTAGCATTGCCATTCCTTAAAACAGAAGCATCACGTTGATTAATTCACAGTAAAGAAAGTTATGCCCATTTATATAATGGAAATCTTGTGATGGTGCAACAATCATGTATATATATTAGGCACATGGTAGATTACTCTTGGATAAGCAATGATAGCATGCAAAAATTGTACTCTTTAATCTTGAAGCGGAATGTTGCCCATCTGGATCCAGTGAGTGATGTGCCATAGAGAGGGAACTTCTAGTGCTTCAGGCGTAATTTTTTCAGCGTCAGTAGCAACCATTAGGAATATCACCTGCACTGCAGAAGAATTAACAAAACAAATGCAAGTTTCATATATCTAAAAAAAGATCAGTTGGTTCTAATTGTTTCTTTCACACAATGGGCAGTGGCTTCACACTCAATTGAATTTTAAGTACGAGCTCAATTCTCTAAAATTGGTATTTGTAATTATAAGAAGTAAAATATTAAGAAGAAAGAACCAATGATTCCCACTTAAAATCCAAATACTCCAAGGATAAAAATGCATATCCATACAAAAGTAAAGTGAAATGGAGTTGTAAAAATTGTGGTATTACTATTTATGTGTTGGTTCGCTTGTCATGATTGTCCTCTCATTCTGCTAGCTGCCTACTCATTCCTTTCGTAAGAGCAAATTAATTGTACACCCTTTGATCCAAGTATATACAGAATAGCAGTCTGGTTGTTTTGTTAATACATATGCAAAACCCATGGAAGCATAACTGAACATATAATAAAAGCCTATATGGTTGAAAATAACCCATAATTTGATTAATACACAGAGACTGGAAACTGAATTACTTTGAATAACAGAACATCTGCAAGTAAGAACTGAAGATCTCAATCAGTTTTTGGTTCCGAGCACACATAATTAAACATGTAAGATCTGGCGAAAGGAAATCGACCATCATGAAGAAATGCATCAGGTATATCAGCAGTCCATGATTATAATTTGTATCAGGTCCTTTTTTTTGCTTCAGTAGCTGGCACTTCTGATCTCTCTTTAGAACTTGGGCGACTTGAAATGGTTATGCACTACAGGAACCCTCGTTGCTCGCCCTAGCCATGCTTGCCACTGCTAGAAATTTTTTCGAACAAATGGTAAGCAATGGAACAAAATGAGAATGATGAAGAGATCAAAGAAGTGAAACATCAAGCAAACAAAATTGACTTCTACTCATTTATTTGCCCAAATGTAACTAATCTAAATGTAATACCCACTACTCTTTTTTGCTATCTATTTTTCAGATCACTCTGAACAGAAGTCAACTAAAATTTCTGGGCAACTTAGCACTCACTGTAGATGATAGTGGTAAATATAACAGGATAGATATGTTGTTTTCTTGTGTCTTGTCAGATATAAAAAAGATTTCAAAATGAACCATCCACAGAAGAAAGAATTGCAGGTCACTGCTGCATCTCCATCGCCAGTCAATCAGCTCGTCCAGTCTAGTAGAAGATATCTTCAAGGTCTTTTTAGGTATATCTAGAAGGTTTTCCAACTCATAAGTTTTCAGCTTCTCGGCTAAATGTAAGATATCAACCATTACTCAGAACAGCAAGGTGCTTGCGACAAATGCAAGTATCAAATAAGGAGTAAAGCATACATCACATTTGAACTTTAAGTATATACATAAATAAAGCATCACAAAGTGCAGCCAGGTTAAATCTGGTGTATGGACCCATGAAGTGGCAGACGTGGACGACGCTTTCAGAAACTCGATTAGACAATCTGCACTACAGAACGACACCCAGCCTCCGACAACGAGGGGGAACTCGCGCTTCTTGTGCCACGGCGACGGCGACGGCGCAGGAGGGCTGCAGCAGCTGGTCCAGCCTGGCGCGGTGGCCGGCGCCGACGACCTCGTGGCTCTTGGCGACGCCAAGCCACACCTGGCTCTCTGTCGTCATCTGCCGGAGCCGGAGCGCCGCGACGCCTCGCCCCAACAGAGCACGCCGGCCGCCTTGCCGCGACGCCTCGGCCCGCCAAGGCCAGCTTCGAGGGCGACAAGGCGCGTAGGAACGCCGCCGCGACGCCTTGCCCCACTCCTGGGCTCGGGCGAAGCGGACACCCACGGCAAGCGCGCCGGCGGCGCCTGCCCGTCTGCTTATCATCCTCCGCCGCGACGCCTCGGCCCGCCCCTGCCAAGGCTAGCTCCAAGGCCGACAAGGCGTGCAGGAACGCCGCCGCGACACCTCGCCCCATTACTGGGCTCGGTCGGAGCGGACGCCGCGGCAGTGGATAAGGCGAGGCTGTGGTGGTGGTGGCAGGGTCCTTTTTGCAAAAAACGAATCATTATCTCAGGAAAAAACAGACTTTAAATTGTATTGCGGGTTAAATACTAAGAAAGGGAGGGGCTTTTTAGTAAAAATGCTAATGACGGACGTGCAGAAACCCAATTTGCTTTATTATTATTAGGTAGAGATCAGTAAATTGAAGAGAACACAACTTACCCTGTTGGTAAAATTAGTAAATAGACCAAATATTCTTCTTTATAAATCTGTTTGCATTGGATGTACATAACTGTCGTTTTTTACCTCTTGCATATTTAACATACATGACAATAGTAGTAGGCTATTGAAATATATGCGAAGGTAGACACGATCTTTGCTGCTTGTGTCTTAAATGAATAAATAAAATTCTGTAATGATGATCTGAAATGTCACACAGGTGACCATTGGTGCTGCCGCCGCCGCCGTGCCAGTTGGAGGTGCTGCTGCTGCATCCGGTGGAGCTGCAGCTGCCGCCCCAAAGGGCAAACCTTCATCAGACACAACCCCATAACAGGGCCTCAAGGTTCTGTTCCCCATCGCCCCTCTTTCTAAACTACTGAAATGAAAATGGCCAGGCCTGATGTGCCTCCTGTATCTATTGCTCGATTTGTTATGATTTGATTCACCAAGAGTGATTCTTCTACTATCTTGTAGTAAGATTAAATGGAACAGCGAGGGATGTTTTTAATTTGGTTATTGCTAGAATAATTCATCAACTTGAGATATGATGGGATGTTCTGCCTGTCCTTACTGAAGAAGATAAGAATGGAATTTAATTGGATGGTCCCTTTCATCGTGCTTAATTAGATGTAAATGTGCCCCCCTTACTTAAGAAGATAAGAATCCATATGTGTTATGCAAAATTAACTTTGTCATCTTGTAAGTGCTCTAGGCAGTGTCTAGAGGGTGAAAAATATGAGAACAAAAAAGAATTACTTGATTAATTTACAACATCCATCCTTTACTCCGTCCGTGTCATTGTTGTTTACCCCTGGGAGTATTTTTAACTTGAAAATCTCTGGTGAACTGCCATTTGCAGTACATTTGCTTTCCTTGTTATTTTTTTGGGTTACTCCATCTTGCTCTATTAAGTAAAATTTGATATGTGGAGTAGCAGCAGTAAGCTAGACCCTCGTCAATAGACTGCACCACATAGGTCACCCTCATATGGATAATGAATCATTATCCCGTTTCTTGTATACCTGAGATGTTCCTAACGAATAATTTACTGGACAAACAATATTGTTTGCCGTAAGAATTCTAGCATGCCAAAATCTGCCGTCTATGTATGCTTCGGTTAATATGGACCTGAATGGCAATGGCTAGCCAACCTACTTAGCTAGATTAACATAACAGGAACAGTATACAACCGGCCAGCTCGTGTTTGCATTGGCTGCCACATCGGCTAGCTAGATGCGACTGCTTAAGGGCTAGTCAACAAATTTTACAGCATTCTATGTTGTAGCCAAACACTTGCTCTGTATTTTAAATTAAAACCATGGTATTGTGTACTTGCCAACTACGAGTAAATTACTGCAGTTTTTAATACTTTGGTTTTTTTGATACTTTGCTGTTCGATTTACTTTTCTTTTGTTCCTAAACATTTTGTTCTACAATGTGCAGATGCTGGCATTTCATTCAGGACAAAGAAGTTCGATGAAGCATAGTTTTACCTCATTGAGCGAGTTCTGGGAGTAACGAACTCCTTGTAGCAGAACTTGTATGTGTGCTAGTTCTGGGAGCTGATCCTATTTGTGTGTTATATGATGTAGCAGAACTTGTAGGGCTCCTGTGATAGACTTGGGCTGATACACTTGGATTATATGTGTGTTATCTAATTGTAAACTTGATGCTAATCATATTTTTATGTATGTTATATGATGTACCAGATTACTTCCTGCTGTTATTTGAAATATTGTGTCTGTTTTCTGTATTTGCATATTGAAATATGAAAGAACATGACCTTGACAGTAGGGTCCCATAAACTAGAACGTCACATTTGGGACCCACTTACCAGAATTTGACAATTGGCATGCATTAAAAAAAGAGAAACAAAGGCTACGGCCCAAACATAAAAAGGCTATAATGTTGGGCTAGGCCCATGAAATCGACCAAAAATTGACACGAAAAAATATATAGAAAGGTTGAATTAATGGGCTCGACCCATCTAAAGCACCAAAATGAACCGGGTTGATTCTAAGTAACGACCTTTTCAATTGGTCGTAATTTTGCCACGTCAGATTGCCACGTCGGATCCGACGTGGCCTGGGCAGACAGTAGGCATATTTTGGTCGTAAAGGTCTATGACCTTCTCTGTGAGAAGGTCGTTAATTTCAGTTTACGACCGCCAGCTTTTGATCATCTGTTTTTGGTCACAAAAAGGTCACAAATGGAAAATAATGAGCATTGAGTGACCAATAGTCAAGTTCACAAGTTGACATATTTCTTGTAGTGAACTCAAGGAGTCGGGGCAAAGCCTATATACAGTGACATTTGTTGGGGAACGTAGTAATTTCAAAATTTTCCTACGCACACGCAAGATCATGGTGATGCATAGCAACGAGAGGGGAGAGTGTTTGTCCACGTACCCTCGTAGACCGTAAACGAAAGCGTTATGACAACGCGGTTAATGTAGTCGTACGTCTTCACGATCCGACCGATCCAAGCACCGAACGTACGGCACCTCCGAGTTCAGCACACGTTCAGCTCGATGACGATCCCCGGCCTCCGATCCAGCAAAGCTTCGGGGATGAGTTCCGTCAGCACGACGGCGTGGTGACGATGATGATGTTCTACCGGCGCAGGGCTTCGCTTAAACTCCGCGACGATATGACCGAGGTGGAATATGGTGGAGGGGGCCACCGCACACGGCTAAGGAACGATCCGTAGATCAACTTGTGTGTCCTGGGTTGCCCCCCTGCCCCCGTATATAAAGGAGGGAGGGGGAGGCCGGCCGGCCCTTGTTGGGCGCGCCAGGAGGAGGATTCCTCCTCCTAGTAGGAGTAGGACTCCTCCTTTCCTACTCCTACTAGGAGGGGAAGGAAGGGGGAGAGGAGGGGAAGGAAAGAGGGGGGCGCCGCCCCCCCCCCCTACTAGTCCAATTCGGACCAGAGGGAGAGGGGGCGCGCGGCCCTTCCTGGCCGCCCCTCTCTCTTCCCACCAAGGCCCATGTGGCCCATTAACTCTCCGGGGGGGTTCCGGTAACCCTCCGGCACTCCGGTTTTCTCCGAAATCACCCGGAACACTTCCGGTGTCCGAATATAGTCGTCCAATATATCAATCTTTATGTCTCGACCATTTCGAGACTCCTCGTCATGTCCGTGATCACATCCGGGACTCAGAACAAACTTCGGTACATCAAAACTTGTAAACTCATAATAAAACTGTCATCGTAACGTTAAGCGTGCGGACCCTACGGGTTCGAGAACTATGTAGACATGACCTAGAACTATTCTCGGTCAATAACCAATAGCGTAACCTGGATGCCCATATTGGTTCCTACATATTCTACGAAGATCTTTATCGGTCAAACCGCATAACAATATACGTTGTTCCCTTTGTCATCGGTATGTTACTTGTCCGAGATTTGATCGTCGGTATCCAATACCTAGTTCAATCTCGTTACCGGCAAGTCTCTTTACTCGTTATGTAACACATCATCTTATAACTAACTCATTAGTTACAATGCTTGCAAGGCTTAAGTGATGAGTATTACCGAGAGGGCCCAGAGATACCTCTCCGACAATCGGAGTGACAAAACCTAATCTCGAATTATGCCAACCCAACATGTACCTTCGGAAACACCTGTAGAGCACCTTTATAATCACCCAGTTACGTTGTGACGTTTGGTAGCACACAAAGTGTTCTTCCGGTAAACGTGAGTTGCACAATCTCATAGTTGCAGGAACTTTGTATAAGTCATGAAGAAAGCAATAGCAACATACTAAACGATCAAGTGCTAGGCTAACGGAATGGGTCATGTCAATCACATCATTCTCCTAATGATGTGATCCCGTTAATCAAATGACAACTCTTTTGTCCATGGCTAGGAAACTCAACCATCTTTGATTCACGAGCTAGTCAAGTAGAGGCATACTAGTGACACTATGTTTGTCTATGTATTCACACATGTATTATTTTTCCGGTTAATACAATTCTAGCATGAATAATAAACATTTATCATGAAATAAGGAAATAAATAATAACTTTATTATTGCCTCTAGGGCATATTTCCTTCAGTCTCCCACTTGCACTAGAGTCAATAATCTAGTTCACGTCACCATGTGATTTAACACCAATATTCACATCTGTATGTGATTAATACCCATAGTTCACATCTTCATGTGATCAACGCCCAAAGGGTTTACTAGAGTCAATAATCTAGTTCACATGACTATGTGATTAACACCCAAAGAGTACTAAGGTATGATCATGTTTTGCTCATGAGAGAAGTTTAGTCAACGGGTCTGTCACATTCAGAGCCGTATGTATTTTGCAAATATTCTATGTCTACAATGCTCTGCACGGAGCTACTCTAGCTAATTGCTCCCACTTTCAGTATATATCCAGATTGAGACTTAGAGTCATCTGGATCGGTGTGAAAGCTTGCACCGATGTAACTCTTTACGACGGGCTCTTTCATCACCTCCATAATCGAGAAACATCTCCTTAGTCCTCACTAAGGATATTCTTGACCGATGTTCTAGTGATCTACTTTTAGATCAAAATTGTATTCCTTTGCCAAAGTCAGAGCAAGGTATACAATAGGTCTAGTACACAGCATAGCATACTTTATAGAACCTATGACTGAGGCATAGGGAATGACTGTTCATTTTTTTCTA